TGAGCAGGACGCGGCCGCGGCGGCTGCGAGGCCGCGGGAGGCCGCGGAGGATGGAGGAGCGGAAGGAGGAGGGCGAGGCCGAGATCCAGGAGCACGGGCCCGAACACTGGTTCTCCAAGTGGGAGCGGCAGTGCCTGGCCGAGGCCGAGCAGGACGAGCAGTTGCCCCCTGAGCAGCAGGAGGAGGCGGCGCCCGCCACACAGCCCGAGCACAAGCAGCAGAAGCTGTGGCACCTCTTCCAGAACTCGGCCACCGCCGTGGCCCAGCTCTACAAAGACGGAGTGTGTCAGCAGCCAGGACTTTCTCTTTGGGTTCCCTTCCAAAATGCAGCCACTGCCGTCACTAACCTTTACAAAGAAAGCGTGGATACCCATCAGCGAAGTTTTGATATTGGAATTCAGATTGGCTATCAGCGACGCAATAAGGATGTGTTGGCTTGGGTTAAAAAGTGCAGAAGAACTATTCGTAGAGAAGATTTGATCAGCTTCCTGTGTGGAAAAGTACCTCCACCGCGAAACTCTAGAGCTCCCCCAAGGCTGACTGTAGTGTCCCCTAACCGAGCTACTTCAACGGAAACTAGCTCGTCTGTAGAGACTGATTTGCAACCCTTCCGGGAAGCCATAGCTCTGCATGGTAAAGCCGTTTAAACATATTTCTTTGGAAAAATGGTTAAGAGTGTGCCTGTGGACCCAATTTCACATTTAGGTTTAGGTCCAGATATATTGTCTGTTTTTTGTTTATTCTAGTTACTACTTGCTCTAGAAATGTTTAAATAGAATGTAAGCTAAGAACTTATATGGGCAATTTTTGAATGTTAGCCAGCCTATCCTAAAAAAAATGTTTTTAGAAAGTTAGTTTGAGCTGATTGGTGTTACAATAACAGCATTTTATGCAACATTGATTAGAATTTATTGCTTTACACACTTATATTGTACATGTTTCCTTACTCTTCTGAGTCAAAGAGGAAGTTCTTGTGTCTTAAGAATACTATTGCATTTATAATTACCTGGAGAGCTTAGTCAGTTACGGGCAAGTAAGGCAGATAACTGTTGGGCTAGTTCTCATGGGAACTCCCTTTGACATCTTAGGTTATTGAGTGTGCCTGTAGAACCTGAGAGTTGATGACCCAAGAGGGAGTGGACAGATGTAAGAATAACTAACTTGACTTTCCTAATGTCTGTTGTCCCTTAGGGCCTTGCTTTGATAGGACTGTTAGAGAACAGGTCCTTCACCATCTCCCCAGGCCAGACCTGCCATAAAAAGACATTCTTGGCTGAGGGGTTTAAGTATTATTGGAGAAGCCTGGGGTATGTAGTCAGTAAGTTTGTTGTTGCTTGTTCTCTAATACAGGCTTCCAGATAGAACTGGGAGAGGTACTTACAGGACATTCAATACTGCTGTAAAAATAAAACAACAAAATAATAAGACTTGGTTGAAGCCAAGATGAAAACATGGATTGTACAAGTGACTAAATAGTTAGAAGTAATTAGTGAGTTAGGTCATGAGTCCTGTTAAAAGTTAACATATTTCTGAGCCATAGTGTAGGTCATCTAAAATAAAATAACCTGGTGATAAAAACTGGGATGTATACAAAGGGCTTCTATATCACCGAAGCTTTAATGCTTACAGAGATTCTTGTTCTCTTTGGCAAACATTGATTCTTTATCTAAAACCCCATTCAGAACATGGGAGTTGGAAAAAGTGTTGTTTTTCCCCCCTCCTAATTGTGAGTTTGTTTACGATAAGTTAAAAACACAAAAACATTTTATTGCAAGAAAGTCCATGATGTATGGGTGCAGTACGTAAGACTGCTTGCTGTTTCTAATATAGTGGAATAGTTGATGCTGTCAGAAAGTTTGAAACTCAGGCAAAATAGAGATTGATCTGTTCCTACTGAATTAGAGTTTCACATCTTTTACCATTGTTTGAAAAAAATTACTAGAAGTGTACATAATTTGTCAGATTAATTTTAGTGCATGGTAGTATTTGATGTAGTTGTGTTTTCCTTAAGCATTTTGATTTCCTTTGTCATCAAGTGGATTTATGATTCATTCCATATTTCTCTTGTTGAAGTGTCTTTTTTTCTGTATTATACTCCACTATAGAAGGTAGTTTTAAGAAACATAAATGCCACTCTTGTTATAAAATCTTAATGCAGTTGTACACATTGTAAAAAGGGCAAGCTAACAGCCCTCCCCCCTCCAACTACTACTATATTCTCCACATCCCATTAAATTTTCTTAAGCTGAGAAAAAAAAAAAAAGCAGATGTGTTTGTGTTTGACAGGCTGTTTTAATTCACACAAAGTTCAAGCTGAAAAATGTATAAGCCGAGATAACTTCTCCATACCTCAATGTGTGAAAATTTTCTCCATCAGAGGGAACTTTCAGGATTTTCCCAATTAGGAGTTTTCATCTAATGCTGGGCCTGGCGTTCACCGACAAGCATATAAACTAGTAGATATGCGTTAGAAAAACCAGGTTTATAAGTTTGAATGACTATATTAAATTACTTACCAAACCTGTGAGGATCTTTGGTTACTTTGGGAAAATCTTTGACTGTGGCTCACAGTTCAGCTTTAGTTCAGGAAATATAAAAAATAAAGGCTTTGCATCCCCAGAAGGCTTAGTTTTAAAGGGACTGGCTCTGATAAGTTCAGAGAAAAAGGGTATGGGGAGAGTTTCAGGGAAAAAGGGAATTTGGTAAGAGAATTCATGTGAATAAATTGAGGGTATAGAGGAGGTGTAGGTGGCTTTGAAGGGGAGGAAAATGGTGCCCGGGGCAGAGTCTGGGCATGAGTGAGGGAGGGAGACAAGACGGCATCAGAGGCAAAGGCTGAGAAGAAGAAGCCAAAGAAGAGTTTGAGGCTTCAAGAGCCATTTTATCTTTTTTAATCATTCATTTTCCTCAGTTAATCTTAAAATCTTATTTTTCAGAGAGGCAATTTTAGACACCTGATAATGTTAGGAAGTCACTATTGATGAAAAATTAATCAACAGTTGATCTTAAGGAGAAATAGAGAATTTTATTCAAGCCAACCTGAGGATTTTAACCCAGGGGACAGTCTTTCAGAAAGGAAAAGGACTATTCCTTTTGAGGGCTGTTCCACTTGTTTAGAAGTCAAAGGCACAGTTATATACATTCTCAAAACAAAGGCTCATACATCAAAATGGCACACTGATGTTTTATGTAAAGTTCACCGAAGATACGTAGTCCAAAAACTGACACCATTTCCACTAAGATCAGAAACAAGACAAGGTTGCCCACTCTCACCACTATTGTTCAACATAGTTTTGGAAGTTTTAGCCACAGCAATCAGAGAAGAAAAAGAAATAAGGGAATCCAAATTGGAAAAAAAGAAGTAAAGCTGTCACTGTTTGCAGATGACCTGACACTATTCATAGAGAATCCTAAAGATGCTACCAGAAAACTACTAGAGCTAATCAATGAATTTGGTAAAGTAGCAGGATACAAAATTAATGCACAGAAATCTCTTGCATTCCTATACACTAATGATGAAAAATCTGAAAGAGAAATTAAGGAAACACTTCCATTTACCACTGCAATAAAAACAATAAAATACCTAGGAATAAACCTACCTAAGGAGACAAAAGACCTGTATGCAGAAAACTATAAGACACTGATGAAACAAGTTAAAGATGATACAAACAGATGGAGAGATATACCATGTTGTTGGATTGGAAGAATCAACATTGTGAAAATGACTGTACTACCCAAAGCAATCTACAGATTCAATGCAATCCCTGTCAAACTACCACTGGCATTTTTCACAGAACTAGAACAAAAAATTTCACAATTTGTATGGAAAGGCAAAAGACCCCGAATAGCCAAAGCAATCTTGAGAAAGAAAAACGGAGCTGGAGGAATCAGACTCCCTGACTTCAGACTATACTACAAAGCTACCATAATCAAGACAGTATGGTACTGGCACAAAAACAGAAATACAGATCAATGGAACAGATAGAAGGCCCAGAGATAAACCCATGCACATATGGACACCTTATCTTTGATAAAGGAGGCAAGAATATACAGTGGAGAAAAGACAGCCTCTTCAATAAGTGGTGCTGGGAAAACTGGACAGGTACATGTAAAAGTATGAAATTAGAACACTCCCTAACACCATACACAAAAATAAACTCAAAATGGATCAAAGACCTAAATGTAAGGCCATATACTATCAAACTCTTAGAGGAAAACATAGGTAGAACACTCTATGACATAAATCACAGCAAGATCCTTTTTGACCCACCTGCTAGAGAAATGGAAATAGAAACAAAAATAAACAAATGGGACCTAATGAATCTTAAAAGCTTTTGCACAGCAAAGGAAACCATAAACGAGATGAAAAGACAACCCTCAGAATGAGAGAAAATATTTTCAAATGAAGCAATTGACAAAGGATTAATCTCCAAAATTTACAAGCAGCTCATGCAGCTGAATATCAAGAAAACAAACAACCCAATCCAAAAATGGGTAGAAGACCTAAATAGACATTTCTCCAAAGAAGATATACTGATTTCCAGCAAACACATGAAAGGATGCTCAACATCACTAATCATTAGAGAAATGCAAATCAAAACTACAATGGGGTATCACCTCACACCAGTAGAATGTCCATCATCAAAAAATCTAGAAACAATAAATGCTGGAGAGGGTGTGGAGAAAAGGGAACCCTCTTGCACTGTTGGTGGGAATGTAAGTTGATACAGCCGCTATGGAGAACAGTATGGAGGTTCCTTAAAAAACTAAAAATAGAACTACCATATGACAGCAATCTCACTACTGGGCATATACCCTGAGAAAACTGTAATTCAAAGAGTCATGTACCACAATGTTCATTGCAGTGCTATTTACTACAATAGCCAGGACATGGAAACAACCTAAGTGTCCATCAACAGATGAATGGATAAAGAAGATGTGGCACATATATACAATGGAATATTACTCAGCCATAAAAAGAAACAAAATTCAGCTATTTGTAGTGAGGTGATGGACCTAGAGTCTGTCATGCAGAGGGAAGTAAGTCATAAAGAGAAAAACAGATACTGTATGCTAACACATATATATGGAATCTAAAAAAAAAAAAGTGGTTTTGAAGAACCTAAGGGTGGACAGACATAAAGACTCAGACATAGGGAATGGACTTGAGGATATGGGGAGGGGAAGGTAAGCTGGGACGAAGTGAGAGAGTGGCATGGGCTTATATATACTACCAAATGTAAAATAGATAGCTAGTGGGAAGCAGCTGCATCACACGGGAAGACCAGCTCTGTGCTTTGTGACCACCTAGAGGGGTGGGATAGGGAGGTTGGGAGGGAGATGCAAGAGGGAGGAGATATGGGGACATATGTATATGTATAGCTGATTCACTTTGTTATAAAGCAGAAACTAACACACCATTGTAAAGCAATTATACTCCAATAAAGATATTAAAAAAATTAAAAAAAAAAAAGAATGTTATCTTTCAAGGAGTTACATTGCTGGTGTATGAAGAAGGGAAAATGTTGATCTTTATGGTCAAGCAGGC